GCAGACTGCTCAGACACAGGCGCAGGCCTGCTCATCAACAGATACAAAGAATCACTGCTACCAAACAGCTCTGCAAACGTCAATATACCCCAGAGGCGAGAATAGGGCGCCGGCCTCCTCTGACATTGGCACATTTGCCTGACCCCACTCTCTATGATCCCCCAGGCCTCCTGTCTCTTCTCATCTGATACATTAATCACCAAAGGGATCACCTCCATGGTTTCCATCTCTGTCACAACTATGAACTGAAGGTCTACAAAGCAACACTGACCTCCCACTTATTCTAGGAAGCACCGACCAAAAAAATGTAATTTTGTTTTTAAATAAAAGTACAGACAGAAAGCACTGCAGCCAGTTTGAAAAAGGTATCTCTGGTGAAGAGAGGGAGCCTGAAAAATGGGTGGAAAGAAGAGAGAACACACGCTGGGGTAGGTGTGAAGACCTTTCCCTCAGAACCTTGTAGGTAACAGAAAATAAAGCTGAGCGCCTGACCCTCAGGAGCACACACATAGTGAAGGGCGGCCATCAAAGCGGCCCCTGCAGCGCAGCTTAGTGGGCAGGGAAACCACATCCTATCTGTACCTTTTTCTCAGCAGGAAGGGGCGGGAGACAGAGGAGCAAACTGTGCAGTGAGCAGACTGTGTTTTTCAGAAAGAAGGCAGCTCTTCAAGTAACAGAAAGATGACATGATAAGGGTATACACACACATACACACACACAGTGAAGTTTTTAATAACATCCTGAGTGTGGCCTTTAGGCCTTGCTCAAACTTGCCATTTTTTCTTCAGGAATCAGAACTATAATGGCTATAAGTGTCTGAGAGATATTATTAGGGAAGGGTCTATATTTGTGGGGTACAGGTGGGCTCATGTCACCCCATCTCTGTACTCCCAGCAAAGAGCACCAACTTCATTTAAATCTAATCTCTTTTTAATTCATTTAAATTTAACCTATTTCTTTAAAGTCACACTTCTTTGGTCAATACATCAGGATTTAAGTAACTGATTACACCCTCCTTAGGAGGTCCTGCTTTTATTCCAATCATCAGTCTATTTTGCATCTTCTTCAGAACAGGCATCAGAAACAAGTTTGGGTGACAAACAAGAAAAGTCAAAAATCCTTGACAACCAACTTCCTTTCCTAGTAAGTAAATAACATCACTCATATTCATCAATAGATTAACTGCCTGTAGACTCAACTACTCATTTAACAAATGCACAGTGAGGGCCAGGCTTGTGCCTGTTCTCAAAAGCCAAACCTAAAGTTTAAAAACTCTAGAAGGCAGAATAGTCAAAGTATGGGTCCAAGCTCAGAAGACAGTTTCCAAATAAACATTCTTGAAACACCTGCATAATAGCAATTTCACAGAATATGTTATTAACTTTCACTGATTCAAATATTTGAGCATTTAGAGATAAGACTGTCAAAATAAGTTCCATTATTAAATAGTGTGTGTATGAAAGTATATATACATATAAAGCCATATACTCAGTTTAGAAGATTATAAGTAAAGAGAGAAACTGAAAATTTATATTGTTTGGGGAAACAAAAGAGAAATGCAGAGGAATAAAAATAGCTTCTTAAAATAGCCCAAGAATTTAAAAATAATCAAGAAAATATTCATTAATCACTTGTCTGCTAATGACCGTATCGCTACCATTGATTTCACTGAGTGAAAATTAATAAAATATATAAAAATTCAAAATTATAAATATCAATTCAAATTTAAAAATTGAGATTATTATATAAGCCACAGGTCAACTTCCTAGTCGTTTTCTGCATTATGGAGATTTAGGGAGACATAAACATGGGTGGTGTTCAGTACCAAGAGCCCCCCGAGTTGTGCACACACTCATTTTGCTAACCACGGGGCCAGGCTTACTGATGACAGTTTTCAACACCAAAACAAGTTCTTTCTTCTAAGAGAGAACATACGCCAGTCTTACTTCCCAGGCTTCAGTACTCAGTAAGAGTAACAACAACCATCACACTACTGCTCAATGTTTCTCCCAGGCTATGTCCTTTCTACATTCATTTATTCCTCACAGCAGCATGAAAAGTACATGGGAGAAGTCAACGAAGAGGTAATTAAGAGCAGCACAGAGGGTGAGAATGTGGAGGTGGGGCACCACAGATGAGTAGTGGGGAGAAGCAAAGGCAGTAAAAAAAGAATTTGCCCTGCAGTCAGGCAGAGACTTGTGTGCTTCAGCAGCCCTAAAGAACAAAGAGGCACACCCTGCTGAGGTGCAGTGGTACCCCAGGGACCACCAGGCCTGTCCTCCATTGCTATGGCAAGTTAGGCCTTAAGAAAACTATAATGAAGCCACTACAGCAATGGTTAGCAACAAGCTGCAGACAAGGGATGGAAAGACCATCTTCCTCTGTGGATTCCAAACAGTTCCAATAATGTAAGAAGTTGTTAAAGAAATCAAAAGTGGAAGAGCACAGATGTGTATATAATGCATTTAGGGAAATGAAAGCTGATCAGTACATACTGAGCTGGTCACTGCGCATGACAGATAACTTCCACAAAAGCAGCTATTCAAAGGATTTTGCAGATTCTAAGTCACTGAAGAAACTAAGTCAGTGCCATATAGCACTCATTAAATTAAAGTCCCCGAATCATGTTCTGTGAGTGTTGATAAAGAGATCTCAAGAGACCTTCGTCTCTAACCTAAATGCTCACTGAAGAGCAACATTCTTTGCAAATTTATCAGCTGAGCCATGTGTGTTTTCATAGCTGAGTTGGGACCTTAGAGGCCTTAGAAAAAACCTGTGGTGAGAGCACACAACAGTCTCTGGACAGAGTCCTCCACTGCAAATGAAGGCCACCACTTGTGCCCCTGGAGGGTAATAGCGATAATATTATCAAGTTAGCCCTAAAATCCTTCCATCCTCTGGACTTTTGGCAAGGGCCAAATAGCAAAGTCACATTTTCCTTGGCCCTCAGGCTACAGGATAGTACGCAAGAGTAGTAATGGATGCCTCGTTTTTGTTTTTTTTTTAATCAAAACCAAATAAAATTATCAATTGGGAAAGCAAGATGCTTCATGGTGACGGAGTTCTAGCATCTACCACACTTAGATAACATATATCTACCCCAAAAGAGACAGGGCTCCCGCTAAGGGCTACAATGGTAACTATGTACCTCCCCAAACACCTAAAATAGAACACTTTCTAGAACCATCTCAACAAGGAATGCTGACTCTTAGCATTCCCCCAGTGCAGAATAGGAATGAATTATGGCACACACTAAAACCATGTCAAGTTTTTGCAAAGAAGTTACTGGTTTAGCTAAAAGTTAAGCATATTTGTTTTAAAATGAAAAAGTAAAATGGCAAGCTAAATAAAATATAAATCCTGACTTTTACATTTCTTTTTAAAACCTGATTTAGTATATTCAAGGATCAGTGGAATTAAGGGATAAAATCTAATAAAAGTCTAGCAACGTGGAGCCGTCTTGCTGTATAGCAACTAAGTGTGAACTCCAGGGTCTCACCCCTGTCAGCGATTGTCTGTGGCACACTGCATAGCAGCATCATGCTAAACAGGTATAATGCTGCCCTTTAAGAAATTTCCATCTAAGAAAGCTCTTGCCCTGCACCCACCTCTCATTTCAGAGGTGATCACTGAAGTAAGAAGGCTCAGTCAATTCAAATTTTCCCTTTACAGTGTTTTCTCCTCCTGCACAAACCCAAGGGAGTAAAGAAAATTGAACAGTCTGAACATCCTTCCTGACCTGTAAGACCATGACCCTGAGTTTGAAAGAAAGAGAATATAATAGTCTGAATTGCCCAAGAGATTGATGAGAATGCTGTTTTTGTGAGAGCAAAAGAAAAAAAGAGAAATACAACTAAAGCCTCATGAGCTTGAAGGCAAACCCAAAGAGTTTCAAGATAACGAAAAGAAAAATAACTCTGATATGGGTTTGAATAATTCAAATTGGATGAGCTTTCTGTACTGTGTTGTAATGATAAATGATTCGTGTAATCTCCAACTGTCATATATAAAGGTGAGGGGTTGCTCCTAGGTTTAAGAAGGCACTTCATGAAGAAAAAGGACTTATTTGGGATGTAATATATACTCCATTCCCAACCAAAAAGTATAAGCAAATCCCTCCATTCTCATGAAAGCATTCTAAGGCAGTCTTCGAAACCATTACTCACAGAGGCTGCTGGGGCTATTTTCTAGCTTTACATGGGGTGGTAAAAACCTTACAGTGATTTCCAAACATCTGTCTGTGAGAATATGGGTGGTGCACCAAGCATAACAGTCACCTTTTTTCACCAGTATGATTTGTGTCATTTTTGTCCAAACCCTCATGCCATCAAGCATGTGTGCGCACTCATGCAAGCATGCACACACACACACACACACACACACACACAAAGTGCAAAGGAGGAGCAGAGTCCCCTCCAAAGGCCAAGGTCATGTTCTGTTTCTGAAATGAGACAGCCTGCCCCACTCACAGGGTGAGCCCTTAGGTTCCCTGGTTTTCTATGTCATAGGGTTTTTCTGAGAATTAAATGGGATGGTGGGTGTGACGCTCCAGCCACAGTACCTAGCAAATGAAACACATCAGAAAGTAAAAGTAATCACTATTTCAAAGTTGATCCTATTCTTGACACTTTCAAGTTGTGTATAAAGTAATAGTTAGCAAGGTGAAATTTAGAATTAGAGTATCAGTAACTCCAGAGGAAAAAATGTGTATTTTTTGTTTTTCAACTTAAGACACTTAATAACACTCCTGTGCTCTCAGCGTAGAGTACACTAATCTTGTCTCATTACCAAAGCAGAATCTCACCCCTGCTTCGCCCACATCTCCTGAACAGAAGGTAACTGACTAACATCCTGGGTTCCTGGAAGAGTCTTCTGTAGCAATGATGCAATGAAAGGCACAAGAACAAAATGTTTCTCGGCCTTCTGACATTTGGGCTCATTTTGATATTAGTTCCCAAGTGAGAATCATAGATCTAATAACAGAAGGGAAGGCACAATACCTCTAATCGTTGTATGCGTCCCTTGAAAAACATAAAGAGGGAGGAATTTGGATAAGCAGCTTCTTTTTTGAGGAGAATTTCCTTTGCTTCATCCAGGCCTGCTTTGTTATCACTGCCATCCAAGGCAAAAAACGGGCGGACTACAGTATGATACCAGAGCAGAGCTAATCTAAAGGAAGAAGGAGAGAAGCATAAGCAAAAGACTTTTCTTAAACAATTTCTACTTTTAAAAATCTGTATGCACTCTCCCAATACACTCTGCTTCCAAATGTTTACTATGCAGTCTCTGAAGAGGTAAAATCAGACTATCTTTCCCCATTTTCATTTTATCAATACTTGGAAAACTGCAACTTCAGCACAATATATAAATCAGCATATTCCCATGAGTTGAGAAATAACAAGATAATGGAAACAATGAGCTCTTCTAAGGCTCCTGGATGAGCCACTGAAGATGACAGATGAAAATCTCTATTCTGCACCTCACTCATCCATGAACAAATTTGTGCACTTACTATCCCCTCATAACAAAGGTATGACTTTTGGTGAAAGGAAAATGTTGTTCTCTCTGTGTCCACAATGGTATGGCATAAGCCTCAGAATGCAAATTGAAGTATAGGAACCATAGACACAAAATATACTAAATTGTGTTAAAAGAAGCGAGAGGACCAGATAAAGGGTCCTTTCTCTAGTCTTTGAGGATGATCAATTTGAAAAAATCAACAAATAGGTTTTCCTTACTTCAAATTCACCCCTTTCCAGGAAAAAACCATATTAAACTACATAAAACAGATTCAGTGAGGTCAGCTTTAATGAACAAAAATGTCAACCAGCACATCAAGCATGTGTGTTTCTAGTATGCTCATAAATGTGACTCTCTTCTGGAGATCAGAATAGTTTAAATTATTAATTCAATCTATTCCTTCCTCAGGAAATAATATTAAATTATGAACAGACAAATTATCACAGATTATAAATCTCTTTTGTCAAATTATTCAAGAACTAATGTGTAATTTAATGAATCTGGGGAAGCACAAATATTTTTGAAATAAAAAATTGATTTTTAATAGCTAACAATTAAGAGTTAACATCCAAATTCCCCAATGCTGACATGAGAAAAAAACAGAGCTCATTTTTATGTGATATCAACATTAAAAAAATTTTGACAAGCGGTATAATGGCACAGGACATCTACTATCTGATAATATTACCTATGTTGCAAATGGTAGATGTTTACTAGATTGGAAAAAAAATTACATCATTGTTAACTGAAGGAGAAATGAGTGAATCCTTGCTCTAGACAGTTATATCTGCTGCCCATACTCTCCAATTTAAATAATTATCATTCCCATAGAGTAAACATCATAACATGACTTAGTTCAGTTGATAAAAAAATAAAATATCCAAGTCATATGCAAGAAGGCAATGGGACTTTCCAGAATTATCAAACATTACCCAAGATGATTCTCTTTAAGAATAAAAATTTCAGAATCATAGAAAAGGTTTATCCAATTTGTATCCCATAAGACCAAAAATCCCAGAGATGGGTCAAAGTCACAAACACTGCTTTTTCAATCATTCCAGGTTGAAAAACATGATCACTTTACCTGTTCAAAAGGTAGGACTCATGAGACTTAAGAATAGAGCCCTGTTCTCTAAAGTAGCTTAAAAACACCACCAAAACCACAGTCGTTGGCATTACATTAAAAGACAAGGCATCATTTTAACCACCAAGCATTTTACCTGAAGTTTCCTTTAAAGGCTTTGATTGCTGTTTACTTACTTTCAACACTATATTATCTACCAAAGCATTGCAATATAGCTACTCACGTAGCTAAAGGGGCCTTCATGTCCTTACTTTCGCTTGCATACATCAGTGAAGAAAGCCCCTGTAGGCGGTCTCCAGGAAAACCCAGCAGGTTGATGATTTTGAGCAGGTTTGGGGGCACCATGGATATGCAAAGATGAAAAAGGCCATATCCAAAGCTAACAGCACCTTTCAGTCTGTTTAGAGACTCCTCAGACACCCCTTCAGCCACAATGTGATTATCATTTGCAGCATCAGAAGTCAAGGGCTCTTCAGTTAGCTTCTTCTGATACAGCTCCTGAAGGGCATTGATGTCCAGATAGCACTTATTGTAAATCTTCCAGGCTTTCCTAAGGATCCACCCACCCTTTATATAGGCTATAAAGAGAAGGGGGAGAAAAGGAAAAGTAAATAATCATTCAAAATAACTTTTCTGTATTAGTAAAAGATACTGAAGAATGATCTGAAACCAAAGCAAAATTTGTGTGTGTGTGTCACTGCACCTTATTTTCTTCACAGGACTTAAGTTTCTTAGTTCTTGTCTGTTTTTCTTTACTATACTTTATGACCACTTGGCAAGAACCACGTATTTTTTGTTCATTATTGTTTCAAGTCCCTTACATGGTAACTAGGCCACAGTATTTAGTATTTGCTGAATGAATGGATGAAAGCAAGCAAGCATCACTGAATTAAACTTATTCCCATGTAGTCTGTGGAACTCTCCAGAACATCTTTCAGCCACCAAGCTGTTTTTCTGAATACTTTTATTATAACCCTTACCTTCGTCTACCCAGTATTTGATTCCTCTTCAAGAGCAAGGTCTAAGTGTAATTCATTGTTAAATTTATACTCAAGCACCAAGAATGGCAATTTGCCCCCCAAAAAAATAAGCAAAAGGATTAATATTTATTGGATGAACAAATGGTCAGTTTATTAACAAAAAAGTAATTTGTATTAAATGCAGAAACACAAAGAATCCCCAATTCATCTTTATCTAATGCCTTTTGTGTGGTTTAACCACTCCTTACTAAAATGGCCTTACTTGGTCTATGACTTTGGTGCTTCCTCACTCCCCTTGCCTCAAATTAGTGAAGCAGGGTGGCAAAGAAGCTACTTCACACCAGAGGTTCAAAGTCTTATCTTTAGGGCCTCCCCTGGTGGTGCAGCGGTTGAGTGCTGGGTTGTGAGGCTGCCCGCAGCCTCTGCAGCACCAGTTTGATCCCCGGCCACCGGCGAGGGACCCACCAAAAAAAAAAAAGAAAGATAATCTTATTTTTAAAGACACTTATTTCCCACTTGGCCAATTTTCTTTTCTTTTCTTTTTTTTTAAATAAATGTTTTATTGTGGTACCACTGGTTTACAACGTGGTTAGTAGTTTGAAAATATAGGAGACCAATTTTTCTTAAGAGTCTTTGGGAGAGTATATGCCCCAAAGGGACATCAGAGACAGTACATGAAATTCACCGCTCTCTGGGCACTCACTGGCCCCTAGACATGCTTCAACCTTCCCTCCCATGGAAAATTCTATCTTCTGATGAGGAAAGGAAGTGGGGGATGGAATTCATCTGTGCTTATCTGACTGCATCCTCCCCACATTGAGAAAAGGGTCTTCTGTGAGGTATTTTCTGTAAAACAATTTTCTTGTAACACAGAAGAACGCTTAACCCCTCAGCACTGTTACTGACATGGCACCAAAGCTCTGACCCCAATGCACCAATGGAAGACAACAAGTCACAGATTCCAGGCTTTTTTGAACAGCAGGAGGTTTTAACAAATTACTTTTAAATTACAGAAAATTTATAACATAGAATCTGATTGATAAAGTCCAACTCTGGACTTGAAATGATCTAAGAATATATAGCAGGGACCTCCCTGGTGGCGCAGGCGGTTGAGCGCCGCACTGTGAAGCTGTCCACAGCCTCTGCAGCGCAGGTTTGATCCAGGCCGGCCAGCAAGAATCCCACATGGCGCGATAGACCTCCCTGCCTCACCCGCTGCTCCCCTCAGCAGTGTATTTCAGTCAGTATGCCTGTCTCTGGTGCATCCTCTGTCTCTGCTGAATCCTCTCACCCTACCATGCATCTGGCTTGTACCCCGGTTCTTGTATAAATAAATAAATCTTAAAAAAAAAAAAAAGAACATATAGCATATGCAGAAGAGTAACATGGCAGACCTAGAAGCTGTAGGCCTGCTTACAAGGCTGCCCTTGGCTGACATCTGGGAACGTGGATTTGAGAGGCTTCCCTCCATTCCTGGAACCAATAAGAAGAGCAATTCGCTGTGTCTGCACTGCTTGTACACACAGTATGTTTTATTGTTTTATTCTGAACACCTGTTTTCCTTCAAGGCATCTAGAATTTGAGTATGTACAAGACAAGAGGTCTGACACAGTCATCCTCCAATAAAAATTGTGGCCATTAAGTCACTAGTGAGCTTCCCCAGTTGGTAACATTTCACATGTGTTATCACAACTCACTGCCAAAGGAATTAAACACATCCTCCTATGAGACTGGTCCGGGAAAGGATGCTGGGAAGTTTACGGATTTTTTTTTTTTCCTTGAAAACCTCATATCCCATATCCCTTTGTTGCGTTTCCCTTTGTATCCCTTTCACTGCAACAAAGCATAGCCATGGAAATCATTATATGCTGAGCCCTCCTTGCAAATTATTGAAACTAAGGGCAATGTTGGGGACCCCCATCCATATAATCAATTTATTATTTTACTTAAATGTATGTAGCTTTCTGACAAGTGATGACTATTATCTCTTATAGGATCATATTTCAAAACATAACCATTGCATAAATTCTGGGTGACAAATGTCCTGAAGTCTAAGTCCACTGAAAAGAATGCTGTAAGACAGATGAAGAAACAAATTAGTCTATAAAAGCTTTTTTAGGAAAAATTTTTATAACTTAATAAAAGCAATATATTTTAGAAACAATTCACTTTCATTAAATATTTCAAAAATATTTACCAAGCAAATATGACATTTTAGGCACTGTTCTTAAAGAATCAGGGAGATAAAAGATATAGATCCTGTCTTTGGAAGGCTCCAAGACATTTTCCCTCCTAAATGTGGGGAAATTAAGATTTGAGAAAACCTGAAATTTATTTGTAAGCTAACAAAGATAAACAAGAAAGATGATCTTCAGTTCTGATGCAAAAATGTCAAAGATTGAAAAGAAAAATAGCTAAACTAAAATATATATTCTTGAGACTAGAAAACAAGTGGAACCTATTGACTACAGATAAAAAAGAAAAAGGAAAAACTTGCGAACTCCTAAAAATGTTAATCAGTTATTGATGTAATTTCTACTGTGCATTTAGGTCTGTGCTTGGTACCTGAGGGATACAAGTGATCAGTAAGGCATAATGTCAGCCCTTCAAATGTCCACAATAAAGTTAAAAAATAAGACAATTGAAACAAATAAGTGTGCAACAGTAGATTATGTATGCATTTGCTTATTTTATATGTTCCATTGGGTCATATATAGAAAAATGAAAATAACATTGAGACTGTGGATGAATTGTTCTTTGTCATTAAATTGTTTTCTATGAAATAAGTAGCTAAATAATCAGAAAATTCAAACTAAATATTGCAGGATTTCAGTAGAAAACTTTACTCCCTCTTACCCTCATCCCTAATTGAAAATTTGGAGGGATATACATTCCACTTTATCCTGTCTTTTCCAGGCTGCTAGAGCTTTATGAAGGACCTGGGGCTTCCGCTTAGAAGGCAGCATTTCAGGAATGCAAGTATGAAAGAACAAATGGACAAATGAGGTGGGGTGCTGAGATCCCCCGATGTCCAGCTAAGGAGTGGACACCTGAGACTGAGGAAACACGGAACTCTATGGGGTTGAAGGAATGAGTGTCAGAAAGTCATTTACATCTCTGGTGATAAAATTATAGAAAAATATGGCAGCAGTGAAAACAAAAGTAAAAATGCATCAATGCCCAACTGTTTGGAACTCAGATGATAGAACAAAGAAAATAACATGGTAAAAAAACCAATTTCAAAGAATAAAAATGAAATTCATTCAACATGTGTCTAAGATAGACGTTTAGGTGCCAATGTCTGCAGCACACATGTTAAAGTCTTTAGGAAAAAGTTTTGTCGTCTTTGAGTCAGATAAACAGATCCCCCAAATCTTGACTAAACCAAAGATTATAAATTGAAACTTGTGCAAAATGCATATCCAGAAAATTTGGGGTTTTACTACCTTCTAAGTTCCCTGAGTCACCCTACTCCCCCCACCTGAAATACTGTAAACAAAACATCTACACAGACAGACCCTGACTGCAGGAGCAAAGCTGAGTGAGGATCAGGCAGAGGACAGCGTGCCCCACGCACACCGCTCCTGCAGGAGGGAGCCTGACTCAGCTCTGTGTAGAAGAGCAGCTCATAAGAACACATCTTCCCAACCAGCAGAGAAAACAGTATTCAAAAGCCACGCAGTTTGCATGGCCTTCCATCTGGCTCATCCGAAAGGTCAAACATAAATCATTCAGCCCTCGTTATCTGCCTGTGGAGGAAGGCAGAGAGAGCAGAAACCCATAAGCCATATGCCCTCCCCTGTTATGGCCAGAGTAAGCCTACTAGGAAAAGGAGGGGAGATAGAAAAGGCCTGTCCCCATAGTGGGGAGCCCCCATTAATGGGAAAAATGGAAATAGCAAGTTATACAAAATTGACCTTAGAATAAGTTTTGTAGATTTTTCAGGAGGGATTGTAACAGTGAAGCTCCTAGCCTAACATTATCTGTTCACTTGTAGATGAAGTTGGTAAACCCTTCCTTGGGACTCATCTAAGAGACTTTGGAAGAAAAAAAGTGATTAATTTTCACCCTGTTAGCCTTCCTCCTCATTATTTTCTTTTCCCCAATCAACAGACTTCTCATAGATTCATTTCTCCAATTCTAACTAATCTTGGCCTTCTTTGGGGCTCAGTGTCATGAAATCCTTCCTTAATGGCATCACTCTTCCTCCCATCCCTCCCTTTAATTCATGGATCACACACCCACATGTGTGTGGCAAAGGCACCATCTCAGGTACCAGGGACACAGAATAGGAAAAGGACTTACATTCTTTATAAACCTACACTGGGACAAGAGCACGGTCCCTGGATATGCTTAGGAAGAGCTTGGTAATCACTCATCCTATGACTAACTTACATGTCTACTGATTTAAGTATTACCATGAATTAGAATCCATATCCTCCTCTTCCTCCACTAAGAAACCATGAATTTCCTGAGGGAAAGAGCTACATCTCATTCCTCTCTGACGATTAACATCCATCATCTCATCTGAGAGCATGTGACATGTAGTAAGTGCTCAAAAAATGGGGAAAAGACAATAGGTAGACACAGTCCCTGCCCTTGAGGAGTTTATAGTCTAATACCACAGACTATAGACAGACACATAAAAATCTGTGTTGCTGACAAATGCTCTAACCAGTCATGTATAGGCACATGTAGAGTGACAAAGTCCAAATGATGAAGTCACTGAGAAAGGAGTAAATGAAGGAAGTAGACCTGGGCTGCACCTGGATACTTGGGAGAGAAAGACAAAAGGGATGGGATGTGCACATAGTCAGGAGGCACAAAGGGCAGTTTGAGAACTGCAAGGGGTTCTACTTAGCCAGACCCAGCAGTGGGAAGGCAAAAAGGCTGGGAAGGGGGCAGGTTCTTACAAGGAAGGAATTTGGATTTTGCTTTGTAGATGGACACAGAACAGCTAAGTGTCTACAGCATAGATGTTGAACAAGTTTTCAAAAGATGGCTCCAGTGGTCATATAGAGAAAGTGGCCTGGAGAAGCATGTGAGTCAACAAAAGGCTGTTGCTCCGCAGAACAGAGGGAGCAGATGGGCAAGCAGTGAGGGAGGAAACCCTGAGAAGCCAGGGTTTCTGAGCCACTGGAAGTTGGTGGCTTTATAACCAAGATAAGGTGACAGAAAAATAGTGGAAACACTGGGAATTCAGACATGAAGTAAGAAACCCATGGCTCGGGTCCTGGTTCTGTCACACTAACAAGTTGTATACATGTTCAACCTCAGCTAAATCATTCAGCTTCAACTGCCAAAGCTGTAAAACAGGGAAAAAAAATCACATTTGAGAATTTATTGAGCATATATTATGCCAAGAATGGTAACACAAGGGGCCCACCTTCAAGTTTAAATGGAAATAAAAGAAACATGATAAAAATAAAAGAAACATGATAAGACAAAGTAGCAAGTGCCATAAAATGGGTTTCAAAACTAATTTTTTATTATGAATGTAACTCATATGTGCGTATTGCAAAAAAAAAAAAAGTCTTCGGATAATGAAATAAATTAAAAAGATACTTAGAAGGTAGTTTGAGAAAATTACAGGACAATTCATTATAAAATAGTTCAAATGAGATAAGGCACAAAAGAACTTCTGTAACTATGAACCTTGTGAAAATTTACACATGCACCCTCATAGGGAGGTCTGGTCATGAACCCCAACCAATTCCTGTGCCACCCACTCACAGGGTGGGGGAGGGGCACCTAGCACAAACATCCCCAAGAAGTTTCTTCCCCAAGAAAATTATCCGTCAAAAAAATGTCCTCTGGGCCTCCCCTGGTGGCGCAGTGGTTAAGTGCTGGGCTGCAAAGCTGCCCACAGCCTCTGCAGCACCGGTTCAATCCCAGGTCGCCGGCAAGGGTCCCACATGGCGAGCAGACCTCTCCTCCTGCGCCCGCTGCTCCCCTCAGGAGTGTATTTCATCAGTCTGCCTGCTCTGTTCCCCGCTCTGGCTCTGGTGAATTCTCTCACTCTCCTGTGCTTCTGACTGTACCCAGTGCTTGTATAAATAAATAAATAAATCTTTAAAAAAAAATGCAAGAATGGATCCAATAAAGAAGTAAACATATTTTTAAATATAATTTAATAACCCAGGGGGTTCTGAAAGACAAATGAAGCATGTTTTTGTTTATCTTTTAATTTCATTTCAATATCAGTATCCACATCTAATAAATTATAGACCTTCAGGAAAACCCAAGAACACTGTTAAGAATACATAATAAGCTGGATTAAATAATTGGTTATTAGCGACCAACTAGGAAAGTTGGTAAAGCCATAAAGATTGCTTGTAGAAGAAATAAAATTTGGGGGTAAAATATATGAACAGGTTTGGCCATGTTAATAACCAAAACAAAAAGCAAAGCAGAGAACACCTGAATGCCCAATAGGAATTGGTTAAATAAAATACGGCACATTCATATGACAAACTAATATGCTATTATTAGAATTATATTTTGAAACTGAGTCACAGGGAAAATAAATAACAACCTAAGAGGGGAAAAGGAGCATACAAAACTCTACAGATTCAATTTTGTACAATAGAGAGAAATATAAAGTAGAACACTGGCAATAAATAATTTTTCCAAGTGGTAAAACAACAGATGACTTGCTTACTTTTCCACTTTTCTGCATTTTCCAAATTTTATAATAATACTTAGCTGTTAGTTTAAAAAAGAAAGAGTATTAACTGATGATTCTAAATTTCATCGGGGGAAGGAACCATTGTGTTTACTCATGTAACACAGAGGTTAGCACATTGTAAGTACTCAATAATCCTTTGCTGAATGAACAATGCATGAACAAATGAAGGACAGATATACACACTTCTAAAACTGGTAACAGTTTAGACTTAGAGAAGAGCTGAAAGATTAATACATAGAATTCCTAGATATCCTTCACCCTGATTCTCCTAACATTTTACTACATTTGAATTATCCTTCTCTTTTAACAGATATTTTCTTAATGGTTAAAATTAGCTCCTTAAAAAGAAGGCAGCCCTGTATGTCAGAAAAAAGAAGTACAAAATTACAAAAAATGCCAGAGCACCTGTCTTAACCAAAGAGGTCCAGTAGTTTCATTGGCCTTCTGTCTGTCTACCTATCTACCCATCCATCCATCTATGGCATTGGCAATTACTCAAAATATGACAAAATTATCTTGATACAACAGACTTTAGCACTAAAGCTACTCTACTAGACACACATTAAGCATCTGTGATTTTAATTTCCCAAGTAATAAATCAGCACCACATCCCAAAGAGGTGCCACATGTTTTCAAACACTGAAATTCTTCAAAAAAAGAGCATTACTAGTTATGTCCACTGAAGAACAGAAGTCATGAAAAATAATTCTTCTGCCTACCTGACAGTTCTTGCTTTACAAATGACAGCACAGCCAGGTAAACTTGACAGTCGGCTATGATGATCTGCCTCTGAAGTCGATCAACCATAGATGGGGTGGATTTTCGGGCATCAACCTGTTTAGTGGGAAGGTGATCACTGACAAATCATATGCGAAATGCTCCTTCCAAGCAGCTGCTAACTTTACTGTACAAAATTTTCATGTAGGAATTGTGAAACATGGCAGGCAGTGAAAGCCAAGGCCAAATTTATACTACTTGTAGTTCTATATTCCCATTAGCTTTATCTTGTTAGTAACACAATAGTAAAGAACAAAATTTTTTTTTTTTAAATCTTTATAAGGATTGATTTGAGTGCAAGTGACTTATTTGTAAAGGAGAATACTGTAAACCTTGACCTAAGAGTTGGAGTCTGCTCCCGGTGGTGGCCCCAGCCACGGACTCTTATTTTTTTGAATTGAGGTGACATTGCTTTACAGCGTTGGATGTGATCCATAGGCATAGAATCCCACCTCCACACCACTGAGGCAGCATAGTCCTCCACCACAGTCCATTGTACTCCCTCCCGACTGTGCTCTCCCACCCCCTTCCTGTCTTGTAGACTCAGTTTAATTTCTAGGATTGGTTCCTGGTTTGGTTTTGTCTGATCTTTTTTGTTCCTCTACGTGCTACATATAAGTGAAGCCATCCTGTATTTGTCTTTCACCTTCTGACTTATTTTGTTTAGCATTATCCCCTCCCCACCCAGTTCATCTATGTTGTTGCAAATGGCAAGAGTTCATCTTTTTTATAGCTGAGTAATATTCCACGGTGTATACGTACCATATTTTTCTAATCCATTCATTTAAGAACAAATATTTTAAATGATAAAAACTGAATTAATGAGAAACACGAAAGCCAATCCAGAACTGCAATGTTTTATCTTTTAAAAAACAATGTGAGGGCCTCCCCGGTGGCGCAGCGGTTGAGCGCTGGGTTGCGAAGCTCCCCGCGACCTCCACAGCGCTGGTTCAATCCCCGGCTGCTCCCCGGCCACCGGAGGAGGGTCCCACATGGCACGCAGACCTCTCCTGCCGCCCGCTGCTCCCCTCAGCAGTGTGCTTCGGTCCTTCTGCCTGCTCTGCTCCCTGCTCTGGCTCTGGTGAATTCTCTCACCCTCCCGCACTTCTGACTGTACCCAGTGCATGTATAAACAAACAAATAAATAAATAAAATACGTGCCTCTTTAAAAAAAAAAAAAAATTTAAAAAAAAAAAAAAAAAAACAACAATGTGAGCTCTTACTTATCCAAAATAAAAATCACTAAGGGAATAAAATATTCCCCAAATCAGGTAACCTGAAAAGCCACTTCCAAGCTATCTACTTTCAGGTAGGATGAACACTGGGATTCATTCATTTGATGTACAGAGCTGAGATGTGAGGTTGGGAATCTGGTTGCATTTAATTAAGAAAAAACACCTTAGAATTAAAAATGAGTTTTGAATGACTCATAAATGGAACTTGAAATTTAAGTTGCAACCTCTAAGAGGGAGTCCCTCTATAAAACAAGTAAAAAGTAAAATAAAACAAATATAGCTTCTATAAATTGTTGGGTTTTGTTACAAAGAATGTTTCTAAATGAATAAAAATCAGTCTGAAAAAGGACACTGAACTCTAGATGCAAAGTAAACTTGAAAAAATTAACTAAATAGCTTTCGTAATGATATAAGAAATGATAGGAGTTTGGCAAATACAACAACACTATAAAGAGTATCCACAATAGAAGTACTGGTCTCCCGTGTTTCTAAGCCAGCATAATTTATGGTCACTTGTCTGGTCTTCAGCACTCATTACTCTTGTAAGTGTCACTCTATTGATGCTTCTGTTTCTTTGCTTACAACACTGGCAGGATTGTTGGAAGGTCACTGTGGGTAAAAATGTTTTTTAAATTGCAAGACTCCATCTCAAATGTTAATTATGAACATATGAGAGGCATGATACTGAAAATGGACATGCAAATACATCTAATGAGGGTATGCAGAACTTACCACCATGTAATGTACGAAGTGCTCTGAAGGATAAGGTACAAGGAGCTCAGGGAACCTATAGACGGTATACTCAACAAGGATCGGGGGTTCAGGCAAGAGTTCTTAGAGGAAATGACATCTGGGAACAACTAAAGAATGAGTAGGAATGGGCCTCCCCTGGTGGCCCAGTGGTTGAGCGCTGGGCTGCGAAGCTGCCCACAGCCTCTGCAGCGCTGGTTCCATCCCTGGCCACGGGTGAGGGTCCCACATGGCACGACAGACCTCTCCTGCCACGCCCGCTGCTCCCCTCAGCAGTGTATTTTGTCGGTCTGCCTGTTCTGTTCCCTGCTCTGGCTCTGGTGAATTCTCTCACCCTCCCACGCTTCTGACTGTACCCAGTGCTTAGATAAATAAATAAGTAAAAATCTTAAAAAAAAAAAAAAAAAGAATGAGTAGAAATGAGGTCAAGGAGGAGAAGAACATTCTAGAAAGAGGAAAAGTAAATGCCAAGTCAATGATATGAAGAATTTGAACTTTATTTTTATGGCAATAATGGGGGTTAGGGCACTGAAAATGAAATTAGCAGCAGCACAGTATTTGCATTTTAATGACTGCACTATGGAAATGGAATTAGAGAAGAGTGAGAGCAGAGGCAGGAATGCCAGTGAGGGTTGACTTAGGCAAGTAGAACTGGTGACTGACCTAGGGAATGGTAGTGAGGACTAAGAAAAATAGATGATTCTGGGGATATTTAAGAAAGGGAGTCAGCGGGATTTGGTGAGAGCCTGGATGCAGAGATGGGAAAGAGGGGAATTAAGGAAAGCTCTGGCTCTCTAGAACATCAGGAGACCACACTACTGGCCCATCAGTGGCTTTCTCATGGTGGACACCATAAGCAAGAGGAGAGAAGTAGCCTGGACTGATGTGAAAGAGAAGAAAAGGCAGATTTGACGCTATATAGAAATTTTGATGACTGACCAATAGATCAGATTGGGTTGTCAGCTAAATATGTGAAATATAAGACGCTGGGGGCACTCCAGAAATATCAGGGGTAAGAGGGTGCCTCTCCAAACCTAGACCTTTTGCACTGAAAGGTGAAAACAAAATCAAGAGGAGTGGTTTGTGACGTTATGGTGACTTAATTTGTGGTGAGGCCTGGAAAAATTTAGGTACACTACCGAAATCCTGAAATACACCAAGATGGAATATACTTGAACTTCATATAGGATAGCCTCATTAGAAAAGTCTGTGCCACATGGTCCGTTATGGAAAATAATTTTAAGATACCAAAAGAACACATATTGAATTGCTCTAATGACTGAAGGGAGCTTCTATTGTTTCTTGCAACACATTTTACATAATCAAAAACTGTAAGAAACATTTAGTGCTTTCAGTCTTATTCTAGATGCCAAAACCCAAGGAAATGAGCAATGTTCTGTTCTAAATATGTAAGTAACATACAGTTCAGAATCTAAAGACACTTACATTCTTCTTAATTTTATTCTTGATTGTTTCAATTACTCCAGCCTCTTCACTTTCACACAGCTTTTCTGTAGTTTTTAAGTCATCACATGCCAACTGCATTTTTTCTTCCTCAAATGTCATCATGGCATTCTGCCAAGAAAGAAATAAGGAAAGAATGAATGAATCAGTAAGTGTCTGAAAATTTAGACTAATTTACTGCAACAAAACTTTAAACTAGAAAAAAAATTATTTGTGGCAAGTAAAACAATCAGAATGTTACAGCACACCCTTGTCATTAAAAAAAACCTATAATTTCAATATGAAATAAGACTATATTTCTATTACATGAAAAATATATGGTGATAAATATCCTTGAAATTACTATTCTACAATTTTTTTGTTATCATACACATTAACAAAACCCACATACTTTCTGATTGGTCCCTGAATTCAGTTTCTTTTTTTTAACAGTTTCACCAGAAAGTACATCCTGCCCACACATGGATCCTTGGCTCCATAAAGTACTGCACAGAAGCAGTGATGAAACATGGCTCGTAGGTGTTCTTTGAAAATCATCACTCTTTTCAGGGATAATGATTCCAGTGGGTTCACTTATACAGAACTCATGTTATATTGTCCCTAGTGAATTCCACTAACAACTAGTTTCTTGGCACCTGATCCTGGTAATTTTTTTCATGACACATCTAACTGGGTAAGGAAGGTTTCTTTTTTGCGCTGAAATCTGCAACTTAGAGGCAGTAGAACTGAGCTTTCTGAGCTGAATGGCATCTGGTGCAGAAACAGGACACTGGTTCTTGGAAGGGCCTAGTGAACTCATTGTATCTCGCTCTCCATTTCCTATCAAATTCGGCCAGCCCCACCCGCACATTCTAGACCTCTCCTCATGTTGCTCTAACCTACTTTTCCATACTTGCCAAACTGAACCACAGCTACTTTGCCCAAGTCTCCCCATCACACTCCCCTTCCTAAGCAAATCTCAACCCTGCCAGGCCTCTCCCACCTAGTCCCCTCCTCCACCCAGCTAGGACTTTGCTTATGTTCTTCTCAAAGTCTTAGTAGTTATGTGGGGACTTACGTTCCCAGTCCCACATACTACTATTTTCCTTAAGGTCGGGAACTGTTTTCTTGTATACAGTAGGTCATGACATTTTTGTGTATTACCTGGAAGTAAGAGGAAAAAAGAGCTTGGAAGGAAATTCATGTCACTGGAAGCTGTCCTGACGCCTGGGGTTGGGCAGGCCAGGCTGGGGACCCCCTACCCTGCCACTGGCTGGCATTGCTGAATCTGAGTGCTTTCTTCATTTGACTCCTCTCACTCTCTACTCTTGACTTTACGATGCTTTTTAAAAAAATTACGTACTTGGAGGAAGTTTGTATAATGTTTTAAGTGTTTCTGGAAAATAAAAGCATTCCATTTTCTACATTCCCTAATTTGAAATCTAGCTGTAACCTACCCCCTCAAATCCTAAATAATAGTATTTGAAAATACAACACTGAAGTTTAGCTCAGTCAATTAGTCTTCCAGTCCACATTTACTCAGTAATTTTAGCAAATCCTTAGTATCCAAAGTCTGGCCTGTTTTTCCTCCCTCTAATGCAGTTTTATTTTGAAAAGGTCTTTCAATTACATGTCCACTTTTGAAAGGATTTTGGTTGGGAAAACATAATACTCTAGAAGACGCAAGCTTTTTCATCTTTAAAAATAGGGAAGAAAGGGTCTCACATAGGTAAAACTTTATTCCAGTTTTAAACTCTAAAAAATGTCCACAATGGTGTATCAACACAGGCAACAGCCACTCAAAAGACTTGTATTTGTTCCCTTCTCGCCAACACAGCTCCCCAATTACTTACCAAAAAACTGACAAAACTGGCTCCAAAACTCATTAGTGGGCTGTGATTTCTGTTAAATAAATAAATAAATAAAATTATTTTTTGGTAAACCTTTGCTTTAAAAACATTTGCTAGTTCTGATTCAAAAGAACACCTGTACACCTTATTGCAGCACTATTTACAATAGGTAAAACCTGGAACAACCCAAATGCCCAAAAATAGTTGACTGGATCAAGAAGATGTGGTACATATACACCATGGAATATTATTCAGCATTCAAAAAAGATAAACACATGCCATTCACAGCAATGTGGATGGAGCTAGAAGGAATTATGCTCAGTGCAATAAGCCAGAAGGAAAAAGAAAAATATCGCATGGTTTCACTTATAGCAGGAATGTAGGGGAACCAAATAAGACATCAGTGTAAAAAAAATAATAACAGTACAAAACACAGCAAAGCAAAAACCGACCATTATAAATCAGAGACATCCTGCAGGGGAGGAGGAGGGAGAGGGATCAGAGGGAGGGAGGGAGGAGCACAGGGGACTGAGGTGATGGTGCACGGGTGCATTGGTGAAGGAAATTCTATGAGGGCTACACCTGAGGGGGTGGGGGGAAGCAAATATTGTTTAAAAATGAACAATTTTTAATTAAAAAATTGTAAAAATAAAAAAATTAAAAAATTAAAGCATAAAGAATGAATTTTGAGACAAATATTTTAAAAAAATTGCTATATTAGGTTCACGAATTTTCCTAATGATTGGATAGAAGAAATTAAAGCTTTCGTGCAGGTTAAATTACCCCAAGAAAAAAAATTAAAGAGGCAAAGCAGTTCACCGGTCTGTCTGCCGGAATAGAATCTGCCCGAGTTTTCAAAGCAAGGCAAACAATATAGTCAAAATAGAGCAGAGGCAGCCTTAACAAGCCAATGTGACACCTACAACTATATAGCCAAAGAAGGTGATTAATAATCATTTTTTATTTATTTTTTTTTAAAGATTTATTTATTTATTTTATTATTATTATTATTATTTTTTTATACAAGCACTGGGTACAGTCAGAAGCGGGGGAGGGTGAGAGAATTCACCAGAGCCAGAGCGGGGAGCAGAGCAGGCAGAAGGACCAAAGTACACTGCTGAGGGGAGCAGCGGGCGGCAGGAGAGGTCTGCGCGCCATGTGGGACCCTCCTCCGGTGGCCGGGGAGCAGCCGGGGATCGAACCGGCGCCTCAGAGGCCGCAGGCAGCTTCGCAATCCAGCGCTCAACCGCTGCGCCACCGGGGAGGCCCAATAATCATTTTTTAAATGCAAGACTTGTTCAAAATTTTAAACACACAATGTTTAAAAGAAAATGAAAGGATCTTACCCCTGAGTCAGACCTCACAAAATCAGACTTCACAAAATCACTTTTCCCCTAAGAACACCCTCCCTAGAGACAGCATTGCTGGTCTAGTCACTACCCAGTTTTATATGTAAGCCATATATGAAACTAAATCAAACTAAATACAATTCAATTTAAAGAATCTAACAATGTAAACTTTCTGCTTAAATTCATCACCAGCACAAAATCCAAATCTCTACAATTTGCACTAAAGGGAAAGTTGCAATTGTATTCCTAAAAAATTTCACTGATTTTTTTTTTATTATATAAATAACACATGGCCATTTTTTTAAAGGCCAGTAATAAAGTATTCATTCAAGCCCCTATTGGTAATTTTAGGTGAGAGAAAAAGAGAAAGAGAGAGAGAGAGCAGAGTGGTAGAGAAGATCAGAAATGCAATTTATTGGGCCTCCCAGGTAGTGCAAGGGGTTAAGCACCGCACTATGAAGCAATCCACAGCCTCTGTAGCACAAGTTCGATCCCCAGCCAGCCAGGGAGCAACCCACACGGAGCACCAGACCTCTCCTGTCTTGCCTGCTGCTCCCCTCAGCAGTGTATTTCAGTCAGTCTGCCTGTTCCGTTCCCCACTCTGTCTCTGGTGAATTCTCTCACCCTCCTGCATCTCTGGCTTGTACCCCAGCTCTTGTATGCATAAATAAATCTTAAAAAAAAAAAAAAAGAAATGCAATTTATTTGGAATGTTAACCATCCACTACATTTCCCCCATCTATTTTATACCTATTCAAATTCTACAGTTAACAGCAGTTGTTTTTACCTCTAATTAACAGGATACTAATATTACAAGAAAAAAAAATGGGAAGGTGACCTCACTTGTGAAGAATCACACTCACTCACACACGGGGCTCCGCAGCACTTCTAACAGCAGAGACTATCACCCCTCACCTGGCACCAGAATGGATGTTGACTTCCCCACTCTGCAGCTCCTATAAGCTCCCACCCCTCTAGATTACCATTTGGTTTGCTCATCAGTGTCCCCTTGAGCATGATCATTTCTGCCTCAGCTCTAAGCATCGTGCCTGACACAGCAGGCTTTCCACAAACAGGAATCAGAGTAGGCATGAATGAGAGAACTCCACCTTTCAGGAACATGCATGTGATGTGACTTCTGAAAGCAATGGCTATTAATTATTCCTGGTACCCTCGCATACCCCTTCGTATTTCACATCGCATCTCCCCATTTAAGTGAAAAACCAGCCCAATGGAAACATTTTTCCTCCTTGAGGTATTGGGTCTATACATCCCACAGCACAAGGGGCACTAGAGTCTCAGTAATGACCTGATCAATATGCAGGCAGCACTCGCGCTGCACATGAGCTGGTGTTCTAACAGCACAATCTAATAAGGTGCACTGGTTTCATTCATTTGATTTTTTTTTAACCCAACATGCCTCAACCGATCCTACATTAATTTGCTTCTTCTTAACCAGTTCTGGCCTTCACTATGTTTCTACATAAACCCTATTCATGGGCTTCCCCTGGTGGCGCAGGCAGTTGAGCGCCACACTGTGAAGCTGTCCTCAGCTTCTGCAGCGCCAGTTGGATCCCGGCAGGCCAGCAAGGGTCCCACATGGCACAGCAGACCTTTCCTGTCATGCCCACTGCTCCCCTCATAGCAGTGTATTTCGTTGCTCTGCCTGTTCGTTCTCCACTCTGTCTCCAGTGAATCCTCTCATCCTCCCGCGCATCTGGCCTGTACCCTGGTTCTTGTGTAAAATAAATAAATTTTTAAAAATTGAAAAAAAAAAACCCTATTCATTTTGGAGATTTGGAAAAGTTCCCAAAAGTAGAATCACTACTTTAAAATCAATGCTGGAGGAGGAGAAGCAAGTGGGTCCTGGCTCATTTCAACAAGCTCATTTTAGGAACCATCAAACAATCCAAACCAACAGTGGAGTGAAGGTATTGGGGAAAGTATGCGGATAAATGTAAGTCAGGGTGTTACCTACTGAGCACAGAGTTCCATTTTGACAAGACATCTGCAGACAGGTTGCACAACAATGCGAGAGTCCTGAATACTGAGAAACTGTACCCTTCAAAGTGGTTTAGATGGTAGATTTCATGTTGTGTATATTTTATCACAACTTAAAGCTTACTGAACATACAAAGTCTACAACAGAACAAATGCCTCATAAAATAACCAAATGGAATATTACTTTGCTTTAGAAGAATGCCTCTGATAGAACTTAATGTAGAAAGAAGAGTTGTTTACACATATGAAAATATTTGTTGGAGGGGCAATACAAATAAAAGGGATTTTTTTCAATGATAAATGTGTGTATGTGGGGGAGATAAACAGTCACGACGACACCTGCACTGATAATCATCTTTGTTTCAATACTGTATGGTAGATATTCTCTGTACCTTCAGAGACCTTTTAGAAAGAATATGCCTTATTTAATAAGTCAATTTGTTTGTTCTAAATATTCCCTGTGATTCACTTGTTGCTTTGATACAATTTCTCAACAGAATATATCATCCAGCCACCAAACAGATTAATGGAGCAATTCAACAGCAAAAACAGCCAAAGCCCGATTATGTGGGAGTGCGTTATTTACTTAGTGACAAGCTGAGGCTTCACTGTGCCCAGCTGTGGCGCAGGCTGCTGTTAGCTCCAGGCTAGGAGAGGGCTGGCCCCCAAAGTAGAGACACAGATGAGGTTACTCTCATAACAGTCTGTTTCCAAAAACAAATGTAAATGATTTGGGCATCGATTTTTATATTATCTATATAAGTAATGTAAACACAATCTTATTTTTTTTTAAATGAAGTGCCACTGTTTTACACCCTTGTTAATTTTTTGACAGTATAGGATTTCTCCCCTCAGGTGTGGTCACCATAGCTCTCCCACCACCAAAGCAGCCACAGTCCTCCACTGTAATCCCTCCCACCCTCCCCTCCTGGCTGCCTCAGATGTATGATCAGCTTTCAAGGGCTGGTTTTAAAGTTTGTCTTTGTCTGATCCTCTGTTTGGTTTCTCTATGTTTCACATATAAATGAAATCACTTGGTATTTATCTTTCTCTTTTGGGCTTATTTTACTTAGGATAATTCCTTCCAGCTCCATCCATGTTGCTGCAAATGACATGAGTTATTCTTTTCTGATTGCTGAGTAGTATTCCAATATGTTTATACCATATATTCTTGATCTATCCATCTGTTTTTAGGCATTTAGGTTGTTTCCATAACTTAGTTATTGTAAATAGTGCTACAATGAACAAAAGAGTGCAAATTTCCTTTCAAATTAGTGGGGGTTTTTTGGTAAATATTTAGGAATGGATTGCTGGATCATATGGGAGATCCATTTTTAGTATTGATAAGTGATTTAAGTGATGAATTTTTTTTAGTGCCTGATGGCCATCTGCATGTCTTCTTTGGAGAAGTATCTATTTAACTCTTCTCCCATTTTTTCATTGGGTTTTTTTTTTCTTCTTTTTTTTTGAGTTGGATGAGCTCATTCTAGATCATTGATATCAGTTCTCTGCCAGATGTATGGTGTGCAGCCATTCAGTAGGGTGTTTCTTCATCTTGATTACAGTCTCTTACAACTGTATAGAAGCTTTTTAGTTTGATAAAGTCCCAGGTGTCTATATTCCCCCTTGTTTTCCTCACTGCTGGGGATGAATTCACAAAGATATTTCCGATATTTCACAAAGATATTTATGTCACAGAGTA